AATTGTTCCAAGACTCAGATTTATGTGTGATGTCTCCTTGTGCTCTCTCCAGGGTTGTCATGATGAATGCATCAGGACTGCATGTAAGAGTGGTACTGCTGGCACCATATGCAGAGATAACATTGCCTTCCTATTTCCCTTGTTTAACCAGGCCAGTAATCTCATTAAGCTTCTCCACCCCTAAAAGCTCTTCACCGCCACCACGATTGTACTGGAATCTCACAATGAGTTATTTATCCATTATGCACTCCTCATTCTTTCCAGTCAGTGCTTTCTTGAAGGCAGCCATGTACCTTTCATAGCAAGATTTGCATTTCTTATTCTGAGATATTTTACTTTTGGAGTTGCCTGTATTGAAATGCATTTTGTTTGAATGGGCTCACTTCAGCAAGTGATCCATATTGTTCTGTGTGACTGCTCTGTCCTAGCCATTATTTGCCACTCCATTAATTTTTGTCATCTGCAGATATTGGCGTGACTGATTTTTTTTTTTTTAATATGTGCTTCCCTGTCATTGTGTAAGTTGGTGACTAATACTGGTTCTGGTATTATGGGCTTGTACACTCTCACCCTCCCCAGCTCATTTTTCCATAGTGGTTTTTATCTGCAAACAATGGGGGAACTTTTTAATATTTATTTTTATAGCATTTGTAACATGCCTATATAGAGTTACTTTCAGATTTGCATTAATAACTGATTCCTCAATTATCTTTCTTTATGCTGTTTTAATTTTATTTATTATTGCTGTAACTTTAATTGGTTCATTAGATAGCCATTCTTGTCACTTCAGTTTAAAAATGATTCCTGGGCTTGAAATTTGGAAATATTTTATTGCATTGGGATAACAATTTTCCCTTGTGCCTCTGTAATGCATGGCACTCACCCTGCTGTCTCAGACTGCTTAAGTGTGATTGAGTAACTAGAGCCAGTTGAAGCATGTTGTCGCCTTCCAGCCTTGTTCTTAGTTTCTGAATTTCTTCCTTTTCCTCCTGAATCCCAAAAGGCTTTATTAAGACAGCTTTGTGGGAACCATTAACTCTAAGCTGCATAATTATGTTACTGTAGCATTGACTTGTTTAATAGTAGGGAAAAATTGTATGCATGTCTAGAAACTTATATTCCTCAATGATGGAAATTTAACTTTGTAAATTAAAAGGTTTACTCAATTTACCTACAAAGTTATAGTAATTAACAGCAAGAGAGTCTACCAGCAATAAAGCAGGTTCTGTGACAACATGTCACTTTAATGAGCTGCCATCATATTATGCTTATTCTTCACCTTTTAAATTGCATATAAGTCTCTCATGTACCTAAAGAAAGGGATGGTGTTACTGCTTAGCTTGCTTGGTTTAGAAGTGGGGACCCATATTTAGCATATTTACCTTTACTCATTGATGCATTTAATGTCATGCTTGCACTGCTCAGAATTGCATACATTTGTGATACTAGAAATCAGGCCAAGAATTTTTTTAAAAAGCCATGCATACAAAGAATATTGCAGTTGATAATCCTCATGCCCCTCTTTGTGTGGTACTGTGTGACTTCATTCTCACTGTTGTGTTTCAGACCACCTGGGGGCAGCTCACCTCCCTTTTGCTCTCCCTACCCTGTTGTCCCCAGCACATCTGGTTATGAAAGCAGGGCAGATTGTGCCAGAGCACCAGAGAGCATGTTCTTGTCCCTCACAGTGCCACCTGCAATTGCCAGTATTCTGCTTTGTGATTAGGAGATGGCATAACAAACAAACCCTTCCACCATCTCTTCCCCCTGAAAGGCTAAGACACTTTTAGTGGTCCCTAACAAATACTTAGGTTTCTGGGATGGGGAAAAGAAAAGCTGCATTTTTTTTAGCTTTTCGTGGTGCACCTAATTAAGACTTGGCATCCTTATTTATGTTACTTCTGCTAAAAAATGGGCTGGGGGGATGAGCAGGGATTTACCTATTATTTGTATTTTGACTTTTTGAATAGATCTAGCCTAGGTACTCACACAGTTAAATTTGCCTTGTGTGGTCAGTCTGCCACAAAGCTAAAAACTTCAGAGGTAAAAAATGAAGTCTTAAGCTCTGTCAGCATGACAGCTATAGACCATGTGTTCCTTTTTTCCTGGGGGAAGAATTGGCACATACTCATCAATTAACTGGTTTACATTTTGTTTTTTATGACTTTTAGTTTGTCTTTTTTGTTTGGTATGACTGAGCCCCAGCAACTTGTGTGTGTAAAGATCAATTTAATTTTATAAAGCTTGCATCTTATTCTTTAATCCTTAGGACTGATTGGTTGTAGATCAGAAGCTGATTAGTTTGGTGGGTGTGGCTTTGCAGTTAGGGGTATGATATCACTTGTCTGTGCTGTTCAGTTTATGCTGTGGAATGATGCTCTGTGCTTTGGCTTATTTTTAACCCTGGCAGCTTCTAATAAGTGTCAAATAAGCAGCTTCTAATAAGCTGCTTAGAAGCTGTTTCTAATAAGTGCCTCTGCTTTGCCATCCCCAAAGAATTATGCATGAGTTTCTTCCTCTTTTTCTTAAAGGTTCTCAAGCTGCCCATATGTAAAGCCATAGTCTGCCCTTCTGGACATAGCAGTATATCAAGGTATCAACACTTTCAGAAGCTTTTCCCGTCCTTTTTATCCCTGAAATCAGAATTCAAGCATTTTGTCATCTGATTCTCTGCAAATGCACCCTGTTCTCCCATAGACAATTTTAACTGTTATTTTATGTAGTGTTTTTTTCTTTTACAGCCTTTCAGCCATCACTTTAGAAATGCCTCAGAAGAGTGGCAGTGGTAACTGGCATTTTTTTCCCCCCTTGTCAAATGCAAATCTCTCACCTCCCAAGTGTGAACATACAAAGATCTCTTACTGCCTTTTTTTTAAATAACAAAATTAGGCCATAGTTAGCAAAGCAGTGACCTGATTAGTGCTGGATCAACATGTTACCAACTCAAGGTTGTCACTACAAAGCGAGTGTGGTGAAGTCTGCCTTTCCAACTAAAATGAAAGCAGTCTCTTGACGAAGACCCATGCTGAAGTCAGCAGTTTCTGCAAAGGGGGCCTAAATGCAGGTTGAAGGATCTCTTCTGTGTATATATGTAACTACCAGTGCCAATCTAATTCTTTATAATCAAGTACTTTTTGTCATATTTTTACTCAGGAGGATAAGAGAAAAAACAGTTCTAAGTGATTTTTTTTTTGTTCTTTGGCTCTCCTTACCTAGGAAAGATTTGGCTTTGTGGAGATATATTTAATGTTTTCTCTAAAGTTGGCCCCCTGAGAGATCCCATGAAGTAATTCACTTTGCTGAGTTACCAGATGAAGCCATTGGAGAGAGTCAAAAAAAGGTACAGCCAACTGTGAAGCAAATGAATCAATAGGAGTGCAAGGGGATCACTTTGTTTCTTCAATAAGAGAAAAGCGTCAGCACAGGTGCAGTATCTGACATACAGATTAAAAAAACCCAAATATAAACACACACACACGCACACGTTGGGTTGGCTTTTATTGGAAAGCCTAGATGCAATCTATAGTTATCAATTTGTGGAAAATTCAGGACACATATAAAGTTAAGAAGGCAAATTAAAAGAACAATACAAATCAGACGAAATATACATCTCAAAATATCAGGATAGCATTTTCACTGGCATTGTCTAAAATACTTAGAATCTCCTTTCTTTTTTTCTTATTTTTGTAATATGCTTCTTTAATTATGCATATTTTTTCTTTAAAAAGATCTTTTGTTTCTGTATTCCCCAAGGTCACTATTTCCTGCAGGAACATGTCCAGATCACAAGTCTTTTTTAGCAAGAAATAGGCTCATTATACCTACTAACAAGGCCACTAATTGGCTTGATTTGACTGTATCTAAAATGATCACCAACAGATACTATAATTTGTTGTTTATTGGTGCCAGAACAAAGGAGAAGGGACTGGTATGCGCCAAGTAGAAGATATATTTCAATGTTGACATGTTATACAAGCTTTTCATATTCAAACAGAACAGAAACATTGGACATAATTTAGAATATGAGCCTATTTCAACAGAGAGCACTTACAGCATGCTAAATACAGTGCTGTGGAAGAGCCACCCAACAGAACTGCAAACACCTAGCATTTTACATCTTTTAAAAAGAATACGTAGCTCAATGACACACCTCTGGGGTCTGAAATACCATCCTCTCTAAATTTAGGGCCCTCAAGCTTCAAGGGTAAAAGTACTAACAACTAATCTGTGCTTTAATTCTAATAGATGATTAGCATTCATTATATGTGTAATTAGTTCTGTATGCTCTACCAAATACACACATACAGTAATAGCACTGATACTGTAGATTCGGTAGCAACTGGGCTGGGAGAAATTCAAATCTGTTTATCAAACAATCCTAATGTGCAATTTAGAGTATGTAATACCATAGACTCTCAGAATACAAAGCAGTTAGAAAACTATTTTTATTACATCCACTTGAACCATTCATAGTCAAGACACGTTCACTTACTATGTTCTGTCATTATAATACATGGATAGAAATACTGTGTATATTTCAATGAACATCAAAACCCCCAATTTTGTCTCATCTTAAAAATATTTATTTTTGTGGCTGAATTTAGTGTTCATGAGACTAAAGCTCCAAGAATGGTTTCAGCCAAGATGTAGAACAGATGCCATAGATGCCACCACAGGCTTCCTATAAGGAACCAGCTGCACACTTGAGTTCTTCCTGCAGCAAATATACTGGGCCTTGGAGCAGAGCATGCCAAATCTATGCAGTGGTGTGGAGATGCAGACTAGGCACTAGAACTGGACCTTCCTCTCCATCCCCAGGTTGTGTTCACAGTAATGAGATTTGATCTGCCAGCTGAAGGCCAGGAGATGAACCTACTGAACAGCCTGCCTGCCTAAAGAGCAATTCTGTAGCATCAGGTCAGAGGTACGCTTCTTCTATCTGGAGTTATTAACACCTAAAAGAGCTGTATTGTACAGAAGACAAAGTTGACATAACTGGATGAAACTACATCATTTCTTCTTCTTCTTCTACATACAATTTGCCGAGCACCTGAGACACTATTCCTCCATTGTGAAACAAAGCTTCTAAAAAACCAACAGAAACCCCACCTGGTATGAATAAATGTCCATTTATTACATTAGGGCTGGAAAAAGACAAGGAAACCCCAACCTATTAAAGTCTTCCATCATACTAAATGAGACTTATTTGGTTACTGTGCCTTCTAACAATGACTGATGAAGTGGCACTGGCCTGGGTGACAGGAGAGGGAGGGGAGGGAGCTGTGGTCTGATTCAGCCAGCCACTTTGTGGAGTGTCCCATCCTATCAGCAGAGTGATAGATGCACAGCTTTAAACCTAATACAAAAATATTAACACTTTTGGACATTAGTCATCACTGTTATATCTCTACAATATAATCCTTTATACTGTACAGCTATAACATAAAAGGTGCAATTCCTTTTTCTTTAAAAAAAATCACACACAGCACATGTTTTTATCATTTTATTTTTAAGTATAAACTTTTTTAAACACTTTACATAAATTAACTCCTCTGAGACTAATATTTGATGTACAGTAAATTGTAATTCATATAAAAATCCATAAACAACTTGTCTCACATAATTTACAAAAAAATCAGGGTTTCCTTTGCTTATATGCAACAAGGATTCTACTTGCTGTTTTCCCCCCAAGGCAAACCATGTTAGCATTGTAAAATCCATTATTAAATTCCCATGGTAGCATAAGTCACTTGTGCCAATGTCCTTTTAGAAAGCAGCACAGTTTAATGCAGTTGGGTTGTCTATAAACAGTAATTTTTGCCCCATGTTTTAAAATTAACAGATATATACCACATCCTATGCAGTGAGAAAGAGAGAGAAAAAGAGAGAGAGAAAGAGAGAGACTACTTCTTGTAAGCAAAGGTCAACAATTCAGTACTATTTGGAAACACTGTATGGGTCTGTATCTTAATTAAATACAGTGCCTCAAAGAAACAGCCTGTTGCAAAACCTGTAGGCCTTTTTATTTTCTTTTTTTCTTCTTTTTTTTTTAATACTTTTCAGTCCAACTTGAGTGCAGCGATATGCATATGTAAACATATTCTTTAAAGCAGATCACCTTTAAGGTCATTGAGAAAAAAAAAAAGTTTTGTCATTAGCAGTATCATTCTTCTGGAAGGCGCTCTTTTCGTTACAGAGTCTGGATTGTGCTACAGAAAAAATCTGAGCAAAGATGTAAGCTTAGGCTCAAGTAGTAATGCAGCAAAACAGTTTAGTCTCCTTTTTAGAAGACACTGGTACACAGTCTCTTTGGCAGCCTGAGCTAAGCCAGTGTGTTACCTCTTTCCTATCTCACTTTGTCTGAGGAACTGTATATTGTTAGCGCTGTCTGCTAATTCTGGATATTGCTCCACAGAGAGTACATAGTACCCATCGTATCCTTGTACCTTTCCAGCACTTAGCAGCTGCCTCTTTTCTCCTTCTGTCCACAACCTGGCGCCTTCCTCTCCATCTCTTACTCTCTGTTGTTCTCTGGCCCAGGCACTGGAAAGAGCTCTTTGCCTGGCTTGCTCCAGTATCCGGGCCTTTTCCTCATCGAGTGTCATGCCATAGCGGACGTGAAGCGCTAGAGCACCGTATTGCATTTCAACATCAGCAAACCTACGAGTCCTGCCGTTCACCACAGTGGTGGACTGGGAAACAGTGACATTGATGCCGTTCTCCAGGGCCTTACGGCCACTCGTCAGCCTCAGTGTCCCAAGGTCACTCTCAGGGGAGGTGGTCTTGATAAAATAGTGCGTGTCCTTTCCCTCCACAGTGAAATGCAAGTTTTCTAGGTAGTAAGCGTTGTTCAAAACAGCTGCCACTTTTATGCAGTCCTCATTAGCAATGTTGAGCACGTTTGTTTGCACTTTGCCTTGATTGACAGCGAGCATCACCCCTTTGCCAATCAGAGACTTCACCGTGGCAAACCACAGCCACGACTTTTCTCCGCTGGATTTCCGTCTGCTGACCTGCACTTCTGCCATCTTTCCCAGGGAAAGGAAAGCCTTTGCTTGTCTCGCCACTTGTTGTTGCACTCCAGAAATTGGCTGTAAACAAGAACAGACAGAAGTTTTACCAGCCATCTGTAGCCCCCTAAATGCCAAACAACCAGGATTTCTTGGTGTGCTGCCCGTGGACAACAACAGGATATGCCACAACTGACAGTGCCAAGGAGTTAATTAGATCTGCATATTGCTTGTTCTGCTGAGTTACAAGAGTATTTTGCTAATGCTCACTGCTTTTACTCTTTGTCTCCCCGAGAACCTGCACAAAAATCAGCTTTAACTTCAGAGGCTACTTACAGGGCTGCACAGGACAGACCTGCAATGCCAATACATAACCACAAGAATCACAGAATGGTTTGGGTTAGAAGAAAATCATCTTGAAAATATTGAAAATCATCTAGTTCCAACCCCCTGCTGTGGGATACTTTCAACTAGACTGGGTTGCTCAAAGACCCATCCAATCTGGCCTTGAACACCTTCAGTGACAGGGCATCCACAACTTCCCTGGGCAGCTTGTTTCAGGGCCTCACCACCCTCACAGTACAGAATTTTGTCCTAATATGTAATCTAAACTTACTCTCTTTCAATTTGAACCCATTTTCCCTAGTCCTGTCACCACCTGCTCTTGTAAATAGTCTTACCCCATCTTTCCTGTAAATTCCCTGAGGTACTGGACCGCTGCAGCTAAGTTACCTGAAAGCCTTCTCTTTTCCAGGCTGAACAATCCCAATTCCTTTCCTCATAGGAGAGGTACTCCCCATCCCTCTGATCAACTGGATGGCCCTCCTCTGAACAGGTTTATGTCCTTCCAGTGCTGGGGGCCCCAGGGCTGGATGCTATGTTTCAGCTGAGGTCTCACAAAAGCAGAGTAGAGGGGCAGAATCCTTCCTTTCCCTTGCCCTGCTGATTGGATGCGGTCCAGGACAGGATTGACCTGCTAGGCTGCCAGTGCACATTGCCAGCCCATGTCATGTTATACAGGTAAGAGCTGTCTTACTACAGTGTCATCTTACTATGGTGGCATCTCTTCCTCTGAGCTTGCTCAATTATGATTCCTGTCTACCATGAGTCCAGTCAAACTGAGGAGATTTTGGCAGGTTATGAAGCTCTGCTTTAGAACTGGAACAAACCTTTCTTTACACTGAGTCAGGAGATAAGAGTCTCTCAAGCAGCTGCAGCCTGAGACCAAACTGCAGGGAGGCTCTCATAATCCCTCAAGCTGCTGAAGAAATAAGGGAAATCAAACTGTAATGACAGTCTTTACAGTAAAAGAGAGGGAAGCTAATGGTATGGACCAGTGAGGTGGAATACTGGGGGCTGATACCCTTTCTTGCAAGTACTTGCAGAAACTGATAAAAGGGGATGTGTGAAAAGACTGTGGCCAGTTGGGCTGCGTGACCTTCCATTTCACTTCAAGTATCAGCTTCCTGCCTAAAAGAGCTTTTCCCCAAGAGCTTTAGGTGGGTGCAACCCTAGATATGGCAGCATTTTGTTCATAGCTAGCAAAGACAAGGGACAGTGTATGAAAAGAACCAACAAGCCAGTCTAATGGAAAAGCTAGGATAGCAGAATGTCATGGAAGAGCTGTGTGTAGCCCACTATGCCAGATGCACTCTTGGTAAAGAGAGGATGGCTGGGGAATGGGACCTGTGAGCATAACTGCAGTGCTTAGCCAGGACAGCTGAAAGAGTAGGAGCCGCTAGCAGGAATGGTTAGCTAGTGCACCTAGACAGCAGGACAGCTCAAATCACAGGGTCAGCTGTGGTTGGGATGAGACCTCAAAACTTATTGGTCTAACCTGGGCCTTAGCAGCAACAAGCTGTGAATGAGCTGTACTGATAGAGGTGGGGAGCAGACAGCTGTCCTGGCAGTTGCCTCAGCAGGAAACAAAGATTGAAATAGCTTTGGCTGCACTTTTGAAAACGAGTACTTGGGTTTTTGATGATGATCCAGTTTATCTTCCAATTGACCCCTTCTCCCTTCAGTAAAATACTGCTTAAACCATTTGATTCCCTGCTGACAAATGAGTCAAAAGCCTGCTTTGTTTTCCTAAATTTCTGGATGGGAGACCAACTGGAGTCATTAAGATTCATACAACCTTAATTCAGCCTTGCTGCTGATCAAAGCTTGGCAAAAAGTTTGCAAAGGCTTCTCTGTTTTGCACAAGGGTAGCTTTCTGGAGGGGATAACTCCTGAGGGAATTATGAATTAACTTGGACTCTCCATTCTTCTTGAATGTGGCAGATTTTGATCTGCATTTGCTAATGAGTATGAATTTCAGCTGTTGTAAATCCTACATGAAAGCTATTGGGCACAAAATATATTGTAGACAACAATCATCAGTGAGAGCAGCAAAATGCTATAGCAACTTCATAATGACGAAGTTTTTTTTTTTTTTATCCTCAGAGCTCAGTAAAGCTCACTCACTCCAGAATGTTTCAAAATACCAAGTGGTTTGTGTGTTTACTTCTGCCTCCTTCTGCATTTGCTTGTTCACCAGTGAATATCAGAGTTGCAGCTTCTTCCTATATGAGAATTTTGAATCTTTGTTTTCCTACCGCACCCTTCTTGCTCTGTCACGTCACGTGCTCCTGGCATTCCTCATGTTATTGAGCTCTTTCCCAAAGATTTTTGACAACTAGCTGTCTGCCCTCATCTCTTTGACCAGACTGGTTCTATTCCTGGTATGATTTGCTGGTGTTAGTGGATGATTTCATTCTTTAGCCTTTGAGACCTATCTTTGAGACCTAAACAACTTCTGGTCATTCTTCACAGCCATGCCTGATGACAGGTCTCTTATCTCCCAATGCAACTGGAATGCTTGTCATGCTCCTCCTTCACTTTGTTGCTCATGGAAGACCCTAGTCTCATGCTGGGCTCTAAAGGCTCTCCCTATTACTCAATTCCTTGCTGTTAAAAAAGAATGAACTAATGAACTAACAAACTAACTAACTTACTAACTAACTTCCTGAATGCAAAGTTAGCTTCTATATGCTCCCTTCTGCTGGGCCACCATGCTAAGGACATTTGATCTACATTAGGTTGTAGAATTTTTAAAGTTTGTATAATCTTTAATTTTTGTAGCATTCTCTATCATGATTCTTGTAAAAAGAGATCTTTTCTTTGACTGTTTAGAATGAGATCACCCATTTTAATGTCTCTTAATGCTCCTTTCTAAAGCAAAAACCATAGGATTTTTGAGGGCATAGATATTTGATCTTTGAGTAAGCCTAATTTGTAAATACAATTTTCTTAAATGGCAGACTTAGATTTTAGTTCCACATCCATTTCTTTCATTATTTAAAATCGCAGCAGGTTTTCAGGATGAAAGTTCATTTTTTTTACTTTCAAAGAACTTCATAAGCACCTGAGTTTTATGTGATATAGTAGAATTTACCTCAGGTAATTTCAGTTTCAGTATTTTATCTTTACATATAACACATGGTGTCCATAACACATGATTAATATTAAAAAGAAGCAAAATTATAGTGGTGCCTGGTATGGGTATGTTATATCACCTCTTCTTCTTCTGTTTATTTCACCATCTCTTTTTTGCTACAGTATTCATTTACTGTCTTCAAGCAGAATGTTAGTAAAAATATAATTTCTGTAGTTTCTGCTATGAAAATTAGACATTTTTAGAGCATCTTAAACTTTTCATTGATTATTGTCTTTTAAAATTTTTATAATTGCTAAAAGCAATCAAAAGCTTATACAAAATAGTACCTAACTTAGCAAATCTATAATAAACCCTCCACTTGTAATTTCTTAAACTAGATAAAGGTACTAAGTTTGGATTGAACTTAGCAAAAAACCCTGGCTGTCAGAAGTATCCATGCCTTATAAGATCTGAATGGAAGGGAACATTCTATCTTGTTCAATTTGTATGTTTAGTTTTGTTTCTTACTGGTATGTCTTCCCACTGCTGGCTCTTCACAAGTTCATAAGAAGGTTCTGTTAAATCAAATTTTGGAACAGGGAAACCAGGGATGGCATTGTGCAGATGGAAGCCAAATGTCACCAGCCAGCTGTTAACATCTGAAAGGGAATAATTATAAGAAAAAAAACAGAGAAAAATATTAGAATTGTTCTGTATTTTGCAACCACACAATTTTTACATATAATAGCTTTTGGCATAGTTGATTTCTTTTTGTATGGAAACAGCAAACCTATACAAACTTTCAGTTCTAAACTTAAAAGAAGATGTCTATTCTATATAAGAGTTGCACTAGGCTCAGTTGAAAGGTATTGCAGAGTTCAGCAATCAGGTTCTGATGGTCCTGGTGACTTCCAGAACAATTATGGCAGCTCAATTAAGGGGAGATTTCCTTGTCATACAGCCTTAAATCAACTGGAATTTCATAGTCAGGTTAAACATGCTTTATGTCATACCCTCATCATCAATACTTTTAAACAAAGCCAAAAAAAAGTACTGCAGAGCACATCCTGTCCTTTTGGTGTGTGTAATGACTTCAAACTACTCCTGAAATATCACCTACATGGCCAATTACCTTTTAAATGATTTGGCAGATATTTTTTGTTGATTCAAGAGAAATCTGCTCCTCTTCAAGATGATGTGGGATCGATGAAATGAAAAGCTAATGAAATGCATCAGTAAGCAGACAGGATACCAAATTACCATTAGATCACATTATTTATGATACATTTTATGTTCTGTTAAAAATAAATTGGGGGTGCCAACAATCAGTTAACAATTGTTTGGCAAGAAAGAGTGCTCTGCCTTGTTTCTGTTTTTTTACACTATCTTCCACAGAAACTAAGCTTAGAGATTGGCAGAGTGCTCCTTACCAAGCCTAATAATTTTTATTTAAGAATGCTCACAATATGTGGGATAAGGAAGCAGATTTTTCCAAAAATTAAATAAATAAAAAATATTTATCTAAAAATAATTTTTAACATTTTGAAATAAATGCTATGCCTCATGAGGTGCTGCATCTAAAACTGCCAGTCAGCCAAATTACCAATTGTAATAATAACCTTATATAAGCAGTGTCTGCCTGTGCATTTCAGACATCAAAGATGTTAAGAAAAGAACCAAAACTGTATTTTGAGGGCAATTTCTGAACTAAGTGCATGATTTTCAATGGCACAAAGAATCTGATTCCAACTGCATTCCCTACAGCACATGCTGCTAAAAGAGGACAGATTCAGAGGTCTGTTTTTATTCTTACTCCCAGGCAGCCTGCTAGCAACCCATTTAATAGCTGCTGTTTGTTAAATGAATGCAAACCCACTTGATTCCCAGGATGCTCTTCTAAGTGGTAGTCTCACAGCTCCTAAGTAAGTGGGGCTGAGCCCTTCCTGTAGACTGGCAATATCTGTGTAAATTGGATTATTTACACTTAATTCAAATACAAAAAAATCAAATGTATCGGAGCCATACATTTTTTCCCAAAATTTTGGTGTTGTGTAGTCAGATTTTTGGTGTGTAGAATAATGGAAAACACTACACATTACTAACTCTAGAACAACAAAAAGCATGCAGGTTCTCTAAGAATTGAGATATGAAAGTAAGCACGTTAGCACCTTTTTTTGCCAAAACAGAAGTTCAATCCTTTTTCTATACTATTCTACTCCTCCTTCTATGCACCTGGCTGGGTACACATTACTTTGTGCTAGCCCTGGGGCTTATTGAGCAATTGACATTAGCACTCTTGCAAAAGTCTACACTGGAAAATATCAACCAGCTTCCAGTGAATATTTTCTGTGATGCTGGTGTGTTAAACTGATCACAGGAGGACCCCTTCTGCCTACAGTCTCACTCCCTCTAAACTGGATGTCTGTAGATACAGCTGCAATCAAGTAACCTTCTCTTACCTGTGATATAATCCTTCACATCATGTATTTTACTGGCTGGGTTGTTATTTCTAAACATGTACAAATTAAAAGGAGCTGGATCCTTCCCAATTCTCTTCCAGATTTCAATATCAGGTGTTGTCCACCGGCCTGCCAGTATGTCATAATCTCTTTCTCCAAAGTGGACTAATTTGGTCAGTGGGTCATATAAGCCTCCGTGGAATCCAATTACCAGCTGGAAGTCAAGGTTAGAGTCAAAATAGATCTCTCCATAGGCAGTGTATTGAATTTGTTTAAGCATGAGACCATTGCTACTGAAAACAGCCAGTGGTGTCCCTGTATTGTCTGATGCAATGTAAAACTCATCTCCACTGCTAATTTCCATGGCAAAAAGATGTCCTTGCAGATCATAGTACAGAGATGTGATTTCAGAACTTGAGTGGTTATAGACATGAGTTATCCTGGTTGGGTAGGTGAGGTCTGCGTAGAAGAACTGGAGATGCTGCCCAAGACTAGTTTTAGTGGAAACGCGTCGTCCGAGTCCATCATAGCGGTAAATCACTGTCCACCCGCTGCCTTTGCTATAAACTCGAGTAAGAAGGCCCTTGGAACTGTATTCAAAGATTTCGGTACCCCTCTGACGCAGAAATCCATCCTCATCTAGCCTGTACTGTACATCTCCCAGCCGGGTTATTCTGTCCCGCAGGTCGTACCGCAGCGGCGTCAGACGGGCGCTGCTGCTGGGGTTCAGCAAGTGCAGGTTGCCGTTCAGGTCATAGTTGTATCGCCACATTATTTTTTCATTCAGATAAACTGTCTGGAGCTGACCATCTACATCATATTCGTAAGCATATTTGGTGGTGTTGGCAAATGGCCCAATCTTAATTTCTCTTTTTGTCACTCGTCCCATATTATCATACTGAATTGTAATCCAATACATTAATGACCGAAATATTTCATACTGAATTTCCTTGATGCGCCCATGGGCATCGAAGTGTTTTGTGTATGTCATTACAGCTGTTGAAATGATCTGGTTAATATCGTAATATATAACTCCAAATTTTCCAAACTGTTCAACTTTGCCAGAGATATCGTCAAACTGGTAGAGATCAATAGGCAATGGGGTTTCATTGATGACACCTTGCATGCTAGTCACTCTGAAGCTATTGTCATAGCTGTAGTCAAATCGGGCGTTTACCATTCCGTCTTCACTAAAGCGGAAAATCTGTCTGTCAATCAACGGGCCAATTTGTCTGTACCTAATGGTGCAGATAAAACCATCGCTTTGGAGGTTTACTGTTTTCAGGACTCCTGCTGTCTCATCATAAGTAAAACTAACTCTTGTACTATCATATAAAATTTCTGAGAGCTTCGTCTGCCGTCTGTACTTGAATAATACTCTCCGGCTGGTCCCCAGGAAAGCAGTTTGAAGGAGCTGCCCTTCCTCGTTGTAGTCCATGATAACAGAAGCATTGCTTTCCGGGGGGTTGTATATGTTCCGGTAATAGCCGATGGAGCGGATAGTCTGCATGGTATGACGAGCAACACTGGGCATGGTGACAGCGGAGAGCCGATCCAACAAATCATATTCGAAGATATACTGCCGTTGGCTATGGAGCAGAAGAACCATTGACTGAAAATTAAGAACAGATTTTTATCATGTGACAAATGGTGCAGTATCTCCCCTCCCGCCACATACTGATACTAATTCTTCACAAAAATGTGACATTCCCACTTGAGAAAATTATCTCCTCTTTAATTGAGTTATCATTGACCTTACATGTTGTTAACATCTCCCTGCCTAATTTACTTGTATGCCTAATTGTAAGGGGTTCTGTAATTAGTAGTTCCACATTCATAATTTGCTACTTGTTATGACTGTATCACTCTTTTATCAAGCATTCACAGCTAAACAGCAGATTGTCAATGGATTCAGATAAGTCATGTTTAATATGGGAAGAAGTAAAACTGTCTTAGAGCCATTAACTCACGAGGAGAACAACATATGGGAGATACAATTTCTCTCTTACAATTAGAGATGATTTTGAAGAATTTGACTAGCCTGAGAACTCTGAATACTGTGTTCTTGTTCTGTAAGCTTTTGAGACACAGGCAAAACAATTGTTTGATTATTCATATCGAAAGGAGCTACTTGAATTATTCTGACATTTTCCTAATGTGTGGCTATTATGTATCACAGGTCTTGATTAAATTAAGTCTGTGGTAACTAGGAAACAGTATTTGCTGAGCAACACCTTCAACAGAAATATATTTAAACCCCTAAAAGACATGGATTCTCTTTCAGCATATCTCACAAGGGTGATTTTCACAGGTATTTCTAGAAGGTGCGCTATGATTCAGCAATTGTTACATATGTATTGATTCCTAAGCTTTTGCCTATCCCTTATTTTGATGCTACAACATATAGCAAGTACAAATTGACAGCTGTATCTATTTAGAAAAAAGAGCTTTTCTTGGTAGTGAAAAAAGCCCACAACAGCAGAGCATTTGCAAACAAATTATTTTCAGTTGAACTGAATTGCAGATAGTCCCTCTACCTTATTTTAAGGGTTAAGATAAAAGGTAAATGCAGATGCTTCTTGTTAGTCAGTGGCCTAAATAATTTAAAAACACATCAATTCCTAGCAATTACCTACAGCATGATTACATATCTGTGGAATGAAACATTCCCCTTGGAATCACATGTTGATACTTAGAATAATTGCAATGTGCTTCTACTACCTATTTTTTGCTTTGTATGCAGCAGTGAGGTGCTGCAGAATTTCAGCACATTCCAAGCATTTTTAAAAACCTGAGCATTCTTTACCTTTTCCAAGTATGTGTAACTCCAGGTTTTCCCATCAGCAAACACTCTAGACACTATCCTTCCCTGTCCATCATACTCTATTTTCTCACTAGTCGTGCCTCTCTGTATGCTGCCTATTTGCCCTGTGGATGCATAGGTGACATTGACAGCCATCAGCTTGCTGCTCGGGAGCCACAGGGTGGGGTGCCCCGACGTGTCGTAGGCAATCCTCAGCAGGAATTTACGGTGGTCATCGTAGATCTTCTCTGTCTTTGTGGTTCGATCAAAGTCAACTGAAAGGAGGTTTCTGCCATTAACCTTTTTAAAGCAAACAAAATGACACAATAAATCATGCTGTTCAAACCCCAGCCACCTGTTATTTCCACAAAGCTAGCTATTCTTTAAATACCATTTACAGTGATTGATTTGCTGTATGTGTGAAGTATTTTAGCAACTTCTTGATATAACTGTAAGGCACTATAATAGCATCTGCCTTAGAAGGTCTGGTTATATGAAGAGAGGGCTCAGAATTTGTTGCAATGTTTTCTTTCTTGATGCTTAGTCAACTGTTAAGGAAATACTGAAAGCTGTGTACTGAAAACTTTGGTAATAAATGGGGTCATTTCAATACAAACTAGTTCTTTTGTAAGCAGTCTGAAATATATCTAGAAAATTATTGTCAAAATATATTCCCAGCAACTGCTTTTCCAATTCATAACAATCAAGCTAAGAAAGAACTGAATCTCAGTCCTTCACAGCAAGTATTTTTCAAAATAGCAAATGCAAGATTAAGATCTTCAAAAGCATGTTAGGTCTTCAAATTAAGGTTAAACAGTTTTTAGAACATAGGCATTCCCCTACAGGATCAAGTGGAAATTTAACTCAGTATACTACCCACTGCTACAATGTATTTATAAGGCTGAACTCCTTAGTAGAGGATTATATCTTTCTCCTAGTTAACTAATTAAAGCTGACTACCTAAAGCCATAAATGACTGGAAGACTACTGAACCATTGAAAAACAGTTGAAAATGCTTTGAAGTTTGTCAGTATTTTGATTTGAAAATAAAGCCTTAGCTTTATTAAGGCTTTATTAAATAAAGCCATAGATACATTTCTGTTGAAAACTTATTATTGAAATATATGTAAACTACAAGTGATGGATGGTGATTTCTGTGTAATACTTTTACACTGAAATCCACCCCCACCTCCCTTTAGTGTTCAAAATATGTCAACTTTCAATTTCATTGAACTGGCTCTCCTTTCTGAATTTATGAAAGGAAACTGTCCGGTTTTCTTTTCCTATATCAGTATCTTTGCACTTCTCCATTCCTCTCAGCACTGAATTGTGCTTTAGTGTTCTCAAACAGCCCTCAAGGATTTCTTTGTTCATCTGTAAACCATTCTGCTGTGTCTTTTTAAAGTTGTTCCATGTGGGGTGAAAAACTCATAACTGAGATTTTTTTTCAACACTGTATTTTATGAACATGTGGGAAGTAGGGTAGAAATGGACAGAGAGCTATGTGTATTAAGAATTTAAAAAAAATCTGTTTCAAGTACCTCATACATACATTACAAAGGGTAAACAAAGATGGCTAAATAACATTCAGAAGAGAACAAGAGAATAGATAGGGTTGCACCAAAGAAATGACTGGAAGATTTTTGGTTTTTCAGGCTGAAATTTCAAAACTCCACACGCCATGGATGTTGGTACTTAAAACACTGAGGCTAATAAGCTTCAGAGAGATCAATATAAATTAGATCCTTTATTATTGGTACAAAAAGTACTAAAGTGCTGGTGATAGGTCACAGGTAAATAGGAAAAAAGTTCCTCCAAATGCTCTCTTTTGCTTATTCTGTCTCTCTATGTACAATACCTTTCTCTTTGTTTATATGAAATCACTGGCATGAGAAGAATCTGCACTATCAATTTAGGAAAAAAAATAATCACACTTTCATGTAAATCTTTTAAGTAAAGAACACTAAATCTAGCAGGTGCACAATAGCTGTTTTACCTATTTAATGAACCATCAAAAGTTATTAAAATATAATCTGAAAAATTAATGCTACAAGACAGATTCTAGAAGTAAGTTAAAGTTAAGTGTGAAGTGCTTCCATTCAACTCCTTTTTTGTAATTTTTAAAACTTATTTTCAAGGAGTTTTTCTTTAAATTTTCTGACGTCTAGCATTAGCTCATTTACCTAAAGTAATTTTTAAATTTCCTTTGTCTCTGTCCTTTTTTCCCCCCAGTGTCTGCCTGCACTCATCTCTGCATGTCCCGGCCTGTTTTGCTTCTCTGATGATTTTTTTCCTTCCCTTTCTCTCCTCCTCCCCTTCCTTATTTTACATTTAATTATGATTTTTATAAATTTTCTTGTCCACCTCTCAGGATTAGATACTGAAGTTAAAATGGACTCTTCTGATTTCTGAACTGGCAAAGAAAGAAGGGTGGTTTTATGGTTAAGGCAGATGTCCAAGCAATTGTGGTTAATTTCTTGTCTAAGCACATCCTTCCTGTATAAATTGCAACAAAGTACTTAATCCACTGTCTGACTGCCCTAGCTGCTAACTGGGATGATAACATTCCTTGCCTTTTCACTTCCCATCTGTCAGGTCTGTGTAAGGGCAGGATGTGAGGGGAAGGAAAGGAAATACTTCTTCTTCCAGCCAGTTTCCTGCTTTCAGACCTTGCTGACAGAGCTCTTGCATTCAGGAATGTGAGATTTGGTGAAATTTTGGTTGTTCTTGCCTAATCCCACAACAGAGATGGAAATTAGAGTAACAATGAGTTTTGGTGAAATAGCTTGTTTCATTGGGCAGTGTAGGGATGGAATAACACATCTCAGCTAAAGCAGTGCCTTTCTCTAAAGTGCTTCTTAATAGCATCTCTGCTAGAAAAATACTTTTAAGAGAAAGTTGAATGTTTTTATTGTGTCCAAGATAACCACACTCCAAATACATCTAAAACCTCTGGATTTCATTATGATAAAAACTGTACTTGAGGAAATTTCCAGTGAAGAAACACTTAATGACACAAAACGGAGTCTTCTGACAGTCTTTACCTACTGTCCTGATATGTTTCAGTAATTTATGTCTCCATCTATTCTCCTCTACTTTAATTACTGTTTTTCTTTCCAGTGAGAAGTATGAAATCTGTCCTTGATTCCTCTGTTAGAGAAATATATTGCTGTGTCTTCCAGAGAGATTCAAGAGGTAATGTGAAAACTTGGGACCTCTGCATAGCCTGGGGTATGTCAGGTCTCAAGAGGAGACTCCTCTTGTGAGCTCCTTTGTCTGTGCTACCTGTCTGCTCTGGGTGCATCCCTTGAGACAGAGTTCATGCCAGCTCCTTTATCTGAGACCCTCAGTCCAAGGCCCTAAAAAGGCTCTTTCATGCAGAGGACTGGCAGCACCTTTGCCCACAGCCAGCTTAGAGACCAAACATACAGCTCCAGAGAAGAACTAGCTTATTGAACAATTACAAACCAAGTCAGAGCAAAAGCAAAATCGACTGAAGACTGTTGAGGAAGAGCAATATAATTCCTAATTAATTTCTTTAGAAAGATTACTAGTACTGGGTAGAACTAATATTAACAGACAGTGTACTTTTTACCATTAGATACTGCATATGTGTAACACAGTGAGTGTCACAGAGATGGGTGCCTTTACTGGCAATACATTTTGTCATTGTTTCTTGTCTACATTTGTCTTCTTTGCAGAAAAATGTTGATGACATATCTGTCTGTACATAGAAATGATGAGCTCCATAAATTATTCCTGTTCTTCTTTCTCTTGTTTTCTTTTTCTGCTTTCCTACGTCCCCCCATCCATCCCCAACTGACATTTTGGTAATATCTTTCCATGTAAATAAATTTCACAAAACATTCTAATTTTTTTTCATTGCTGACCACTTTCTTTCCTTTTTTTTTTGAGGCATTTGTCTCTTATTAGCTCATTCTCCACATGCCCTACTTCTCCCATTTCTATGTAATGAGTATTATTTTATCCTAATCTGTAATCTTTCATTTTCCCTCCCATCTTGTTAAATCCATCCCTTGTGTTTGCTTTATTTTTTTTTTTTGGGGGGGGGTTAATTCTTATAAGTTAAAGTTGCCCATGACAACTTTACTTCTCTGTTTAACTGTTACCACCACTGCACTTGAATGCCAAAACTTAGTGTCACTTCTGAGAACTATGCTTGTGGTGAATTGTATCACTGCCAAACCTCTCTTGGGCTTCTTTCACAAATGACTTGGCAGGTGTATTATACCACTGTGGTGTAAAATGACATGCCTATGAACCAGAACCACAAGGATGAGCTTCAGAATTATGGCTTCCTTTTCCTCTTCCTTATCAATGTAAGATAGCTGCCACAGGTAGTTACTAATATATTGTTCTTAAGCAGCTGCTGCTGTGCATAATTGTTCTTCCTTCTTGGAAAAAACCCCATTCCTCTTATAGAGAAAGTAGTAGAGAGGAATATAAACTGCATAACAACATTTCCTCCCTTCTTGTCCCAATGGAAGAGACAAAATATTTTAAGACTTCAAATGGCAAGAAGTCAAGTGGTCTGAAATTACTTACCTTCATTTGATACACTGCCTAGGCTTTATTTTAAAGAACTGAGTTCATTTCTAATAGTAAGTCAAACCTTTGAACTTGAAATGGTCTCCTGGCAACACAATTTTAAATGCTTAATCTGTGTTGTCTTTACCAAATGGCTGTCATAAATCATAGTTTGTTTCCTACTTGTATTTCACTCACTATATAGGAAGAAGGAATGCCAACAAAGTGGTAAAGACATATGTTAGAGGAATATGCCATCCTCATGCACATACAGTTAAACCCTTTCTACCATAAGTCTTTTTAAAAATAATTTTTTAAATTAAAATTGTCTTACTACAATTTAAATTTAAAATTAAAAAAAAAAAAAAAAACAAACCCAGGGATCATGCTAACTTATGGTAGAGTAATTTAAAACAGGATTCTGAATCAGTTACATGAATTCAGTACCAGAAAGAAAAAACAGTGAAGGAAAGCGGAAAATTATTCTTTTTAGCCATTCCAAGCTAAACCAAACAGTTTTAATTCCACAGAGTGCTGATTTTAGCTGGGGTATTTCTTTACAGAGGCTACTACAGGGCTATATTTTGTATTTGTGCTGAACACAGGGTTGATAACCTAGAAATGTTATCATTTTTGCTGGGCAGAGCTTCCACAGAGCCAAGGTCTTTTCTGCTTTTGGTACTGGCACACTGCAGAGCAGACTGGGGCTGTGTGGGGGACTGGGAGCAGACACAGCCAGGACAGGTGACCCCAATTGCTCAGTATGTACAGGGGGGATGTCTGGAGTGATGGCTTTGTCCTCCCGAGTCACTGTTACATGTGATGGGGCCCTGCTCTCCTGGGGATGGCTGAACACCTGCCTGCCCATGGGAAGCAGTGAATTCATTCCTTGTTTGGCTTTGTTTGTGTGTGTGGCTTTTGCTTTCCCTATTAAACTATCTTTATTTCAACTCACAAGTTCTCTGGGTTTTACTGTTCCAATTGTCCCCGATGCTGCTGGTGGGGGACTGAGTGAGCAGCTCTGTGGGGCTTGGCTACTGCCTGGGGTTAAACCATGACACACAGAAAACAGCAGTTAATAAATAAAATAGCCAATAAATGAAGTAATAAAACCAAGTACTTCCCAATCTATGGTCAGCTTGTCTACAGTGAATATTCTGTGGGTTCTGGATGGCAATACCTACAGGAATGTGTTCACATTTCCTCATTCCTTAATGACAATGCAGTAGATACTGCTCATGCTTGTGTGCTTACCCTAAGCTTTCGGCCAAACACGTTGATTTTTCCTTGGGCTTGCTCTTTCCGGAATCGCCACTCCACCAGGTTCTGCCCGTTCTCCCCGGGCAGGGTCATGTTTCTCTTTGCCATGGTTGGGTTGGCAGTGCCAGCCAAGACGTGTGGCTCTGTTTGGTAGTGTGAGTCCAGGCCACTGGCGTACAGGATTCTCAGTGAGCCATCATAACCAATCTGGTAGCTATTTCTCAACTGATCTGAAAAGGCCAGAAAGAGAATTACAGGTTACCTACATGGGTTAAGAGTCTGTCTTTGTACTGGACACTTTATGCAATATGTGCATCTTGACTGCACGTAACTGACCCAACGGCAATAAAGAGACAGGGTGAGATTGTTAAGAATAAGTATATCCCAGAGAAGCAAAAGAAATGCCTTTAGGACCTATCATCATTAAACACTTAAGAAAGTCTCATCCTGACAGTATGTTCTTTGGACTAGCACAAAACACATTCTCTGCTGTTTCATTAGGCATTTTTGGTCTAATCCTAAGCATACTATGACTATTCACTTTTGCAAGTATGTGGTGGCTGGGATATTACAAGTTGCTTTTAAGCTAAAATATCACTTCATACTATTTCTGTACCTATTTCCCTTTCAATCCATCTCTTCTTTCCAAGATTCCTTTTTAATATAAAGTAAGTATTCTACTTCCCATAGCTGCTTACAAAATCGATTTGGTTAGAAAACTTACTTAATGCTACTTTTGTTGCAATACTACTGCTTTTCCTGAACAGTTGTTTCTGTATAGGTGTAAAACTGTGTGTTTATCAACCCTTCCTCCAGACATGATGCCCCTAAAGTTTCACTCCTATTTGGAGCTGCTTGTACCAGAAGAAAACAATTTTCAGGCCACTATTTGCTGAGAAATCTTTTGTTTACAGTACCTTGAACCATGGTATAGAAAGAATCGATTGATGATAAGTTGGAAGTGATGCTGACATCTTCCTCTCTGCTGGATGACTCAATGTCCACTGTAATGGCCCTTTCCATTTCCCCGTGAAGGTTAGTGACGACTCCAGTTGGGAATGTAACATTTGTTAGACGGCCCTCGCTATCATAGCTAAAAAAAATAAAGGTCCAGAAATGATACATAGCAGGAACAAATTGTTTTCACTTACAACTAAAATGAACAAAAACACCAGCTACTCATATTGTTAAGGCACTTTTGCTTTTTTTTGTGTGCATGGGATAGGCATAGCAAAGACTTCAAACATGCTTTGAAGTACTCAAAAGACTGCTTAATATACAGCAGCCTCAATGGTGATAGCAAGAGCAAACAGATGGATCTTCATTCAGCTCTGCATATTACTCTTTGAAGTGTGACCAGATCCTGCTGCACATCTAATTCACCATTTCAAAGGAAGTATATTTATTGGTACTAAATTCTGTAGCATTCTGTACTTACTCCCTCTTACTGGACTAAATTTTGCTGTTACTGTAGGAATCCTCAAAATTTTTGAAATAAGGGTATCTTAATAGGAGTGTCTATTCAATGAGTATGCAGAACACCTGTACTCCTGAGTGCTTAATGTCCCTTGTATTACTATGAGCAGAGTCTGGGGTAATATTTAATCTACTTAAGCTCCTTGTAGCTGGAAACCAGAACAGCTAGCATCTCTAACTGTTAACTACTTGTGAACTGATTGAGAATTGTGACACAAACCATGAGATTTTTTTTTTCTGTGTCTACTGACATTTATTTAAACCAACAGCTATATATCCATTTAACATGAATAGGTAGATAGAATTTCTGTAATTGAAGTAGATCTTGGTACATGACCAGAGATCATGCTTACAAATCCAAATCCAAACATGCATTTTGGTCACAGTATAGGGAGATGTAAAGCACTGTGTGAGCTTCTGGTCATAAAGCTTGTCTTTAAGATTAGCTCTTCCAGGGGTAGAGTCCCGATTTGTCAGCCTAGGTGTTCAGCTGAAGCTCCTTGTTTTGAAGGATAGCCTGCCCATAGCTGCAACAGAGAGAAAAAAGCATCCGAAGGAGGATTTCATGCCCACTTATGACCTGTTTGCTCTCAGTTTTCCATCCCTCTCCTGTGACCATGTAGTGGGAAGCTGAACAACGCCTTAGTCTCTTAAAGTAACTAGAACATGACCCTGCAGGTCCTCACAGAGTGCTAGACATTTCATGCTGATATTTATCATCAAAATTGCTCCTACTGGAAAAGAAAAGCAAAACCAAAAAAGCCCCCCAAAAGCCCCAAGCATATCACTGAGGCCACAGAAACTCTTTTTCTTAAAATGAGAGAATTAATCCTAACAGCTGTAACCCACAACACTACCTTTCTGTGAACAGCATGAGTACTGCACAGCATTGCTGTAACTGAAAGGATTAACTTAAGAAAAGCCTTCTTCCAGTTTGCTTACTCTGTAGATTTGACAGCTTTTTGCATACAGTCATTTCCATCCTTTTAGCACAGTTGATTTCCTTTGTTTATGTAAGACTTTCACTTAGCAACAGGCAAGAGAAAAGAATGTTTAAAAATCAGAAACCATACTGCAAGCCAGGGAAGTCAAGTGAGAAAATTTATTTTTTGAAGTTAAGTACATTTCAAGATAATGGGGCTTCTTCCAGTGTGTTTCTGTCCCTAATTGTGGTTCTTTTTCACATACTGGACTTGGCAAGCTGAGATAGTCCATTTATGCAGGAGACCAAAACAAACATACTGAAGTTCCTTGTGCATCAATGTGCCTGCTAGCCTATTCATGACCTTTAGTCTCATGCCTCAGTTCCAAGAACTTATTTTATTTTCATGCACAACTTCCCTTTCCAACTCCCTGGGGAGCATATATTGTCCAATTAGTGTCCTTTTCTATTTTCTGCTTTATGTTTGAAAATTATTCCAAATTACTTTGTTGGGAATTACTTCTATCCTTTGATTACAGTAGTCCGGTACTGGTCTTTATTTCATACAATGCTTACTAAAGCCACAGATGGTAAGATTTCCCTGTAAGAACTTTTTGCGCTTTTAATCACAGTATCTGTGAGAAACTAATTACCATATTTCTCACTATACCACCTGAGCTGGGAAATGCTACACATCAGTAATATTCAGCACAGTGAGTGGCTTTAGTGCAGTATGCAGCACTGAACTGTGCTATCCTTCTTTTATGCATTCTTGCTTCCACATTATTATTTTTTGACTGTGCCTGTAGTTCTTGAACTGGTCTCATCTTCCACAAATATGGGAAGGCACATCATGAGCCTGAGATAAGCAGTTAATATTACAGTGGGGGAGAGTTCAAAGACCAGGAAGAAATCACGTTACACATTAATGTTCTTAAAAACATGACTTAAAAGCTGAAAGAATCTTAAAAGCCGTGATTGCTTGGTTCAGGCATCCTAGTGCAAGAAGAAAATGTGACTGAGATGTGAAAGGTAAGAATAGGATTTCTCACACTTTTATAGCCAGGAACATAAAGAAAAAGGGGAAATAGGCCTTTCTACAATTCATTACATATTCCATTTGGTGACAATTGCTATGTGTCCTTCATTTTGTTCACTGTACATCGAATACTAAACTTACTTTATACTTGCTATCTTCTTGCCCACAATCAAAGCCTTATCAATGCACAGCATAGCAACATCACTCACACCTCTGGGCATTCTGAGGCCATTTTTCTTATTACATTCAAATATCCTTGCATTCTGCTGCCAAGGTGAATTTATTCATCCAAGATTGTCAGTTTTAGACTGAGCGATTTCTTTTTATCTGCCTAGTGTTCTAATATTGAAATTGCCCTAGAAGGAATGAGATCTGAAGTCTAGAGGGTGAGTGCCTATATTTGGTATTTCACAGCCTCTTTGATCTTTTCATCCAAACACAAGCTCAGGCACATGTGTTACCATGGAGCCCTCTGATCTTTCTCCTTTGCCAGGCTCCACAGCAAAGCCGTTCCACCAACCTCTTCAATTCCTGAAGAGTAAGTCTCACATAAACTTTTCAAGAATCTAAACCAGAAACTTGCTCCTTGGACGTGACCTTGAGGGCATTAATCCGCTCAGCTCACTTCTGTTGACATTAACACAACAATCTTCATATTTGGTCAATAACTCTGAAGGCAGCAGTGGGGGCAGCTGCCACCACTGCTAGCTGAAGATCCCCTTAGATCAAATCCTTTTTCTTCCTTAGGATGAGCTGCCACTGCCAGATAGTTTTCCACTTCAGCAGTGAGAATTTCTCAGAGATAATGATTATCAGCTTCCCAGATTCTCGACCTTTTGCTCTTCACCTGCTGGAAGTCTCTCTTCCATTGCTCATCTCCTTCAGTTTTAATTACATGCCTTCCCAGACCATTTTCTGTTCTAGGCTATGTAGGACACTTCACTTTGCAGTAATAACTTCCTGGTAAGCCTTGCCACAGATGGAAATGTCCTACTTTCTTTATTTTTGACTTGTTTCTCAAGTGTATTTTATCTTAGTCCGTAGCACATTTAGCTCAACCCCAACATGCAGAGCTTTATTAATGTTTTATATCAGAAGTTATTTCAATGTAGAATAGGGAGCTGTAGAAATAAAGTGTATAGTAAAGGCTGAAGCTAAAGCCAATTGCTAATTTATGACTGATAGTGTTTTTCTCCAGACTTCTGCAGCACAATCCCTCAACAAAATAAATTCTGTGATTTTTCTTTTTTTTTCTGTTGTAAATATGTCAGGTTGAAGAGCAAGGCACACCAGTTCCAGCACATTTCAGATAACAAGACATGCAGTCCAAATGCATATTAAGTATTTAAGACTGGTTACAGATTATACTATTAGTTGGGATACTGCAATAGAGAAATGAAGCATGAATACATTTCATAATATAGACATGTATAATTTTGACAGTCGAAAAGTACTGTTATACTTTCACTCAACTCACATTAGGTATTTTCTCTGCATCTCAGATTACCAAGAGTGGCTAAAAAATTTATGGAACATTACCCTACTTATTTCAAACTATTAATGGGAAGCCTTTTATACCTGAGTGCTGCTTCTTGGCAGGTGAGAACAGAAGGTTCAAGGTTGACATTCAGGAGTGCAATGTGTTGTTTTTTTAGGTGCATACCATGCTGACAACATGCTGAAAAATCTGTCCTAACCTGGCAATGAAATGTCTCCCTTGGCTTGTCAAGGCCATTTAAGCTGCATTTACATAGAAGAGTGTTGTCTTTAACATGACAGAATTTTGGTTTCCAAATACATTCTTTCACTTGTATTCAGCCTCCGTAGCACACTGCAGGTTTAGTCCCTCCCAAATGAAAGCGAATTCAAAGTTGGAAAATGATGGTAAAGAAAAGCCACTCTAGTAGCTCCTTCTCTCAAGCAGTACCCAAAATGGTTATTTTGCCAATCACAAGGAAAGAAGCCCACAGTTAATATGTCATCACTTTCATTAGCATTTCTTCACCTGTAGGGAGCTTTCCTGTCCCCTACTGGTTTAAAATTGGGCATGGTAAATTACTGGAAGCTCTAGTTTTGGCCACCTTTAACCATTATGTGGGTTGTAGAAAGAAAGAAACTTTCAACTTGAATGTAATGAATTTTGCATTTTTTTCCTTTACTCAATTTGTACATTGCTTTCCTCATTTTGATATGCATTTTTGCTTTTGATATGTCTGAAGAGAGACTGAATGAGCCTAAGAATGAAAAAGGTGAAAATAATCTGAAGAATCTGAAGATGCATGGACAGAAATGATTGCTCTTTTTTTTTTTGCATTTCTTATTTAGTCTGATTGAAAGAGACACTTCAGTGGATCCATAAATACTCATATATAACCTGCACTTATTCCTTTATTTCCACAAAATACATTTGTATTTGTATCTTAAAAGGTTTAGCATCTTGCTTGTGAATTCACACTACAATTATATTGGGAAACCTGAAATATTAAATTATGACTTCCCTTGGAGATATAACAATTAAAAAAACCCAAAAAACCCAAACAATAAAGAATATGTGGTAAGTCTTCCTAATATCTTGTTTTGCTTAACAAGAAGAGAGCAAATGACAATTTGATATATATTAGTAGTCTGTAAATTATGACAAGTGGAGTTTTAAAAT